GGGACTGGACATCTGCGCAGTGGAAGCGCTGCATGGCAAGGACGGAAGGGATCACATCATTGAGGTGGGAACACCCAGGGATTGGTGGGGCCACAGAGGGAGGCGCAGGTACAGGGCAGCAACACTCTGTAAACTGTGAAGCACTCCATGGCCCAGAAGGTCCACAGTGAATGGCAAAATGTTTAGTAAACTGTAAAGTGCCTTGTGAACTGGGACATCCCTGGCAAATGGCAAAATACTTTGTAAACTCTAAACTGCTCTGTGAACTTGGACATCCTTAGTTAATAGCAAAACACTTGTTAAACTATAGAGTGCTCTGTGAACTGAGAATGCAAAGCACTTACTACCCTTCAAAGTGTTCTGTGAACTGACAAGTCTATGGCAAACAGCAAAGCACTTTGTAAACTGTAAATTACTTTATAAAGAGTGGTGGTTGGGGCCGGCCCAGTGGCACAAGCGGTTAAGTGCGTGCGCTCTGCTGCGGTGGCCCGGGGTTCACCGGTTCAGATCCCGGGCGCACACCGACGCACTGCTTGGCAAGCCATGCTGTGGTGGAAGGAAGTGGAGGAAGATGGGCACGGATGCTAGCCCAGGGCCAGTCTTCCTCAGCAAAAAAGAGGAGGATTGGCAGATGTTAGCACAGGGCCGATCTCCTCACCAAAAAAAAAAAAAGAGTGGTGGTTGATCCTAAAACACTCTGTAAACTGTAAAGTACCTTATAAATTAGGAAGTGTTTAGTGAACAGCAAAGTGCTTTATAAAATATAAAAAAGGAGCTCTGTAAACTGGGAAGTCCTTGTTATTGAAGCAAAGTGCTTTGAAAATTCTAAAGCTCTTTGTAAACAGCGGTGTCCCTGGTAAACAGTAAAGCAGTTTGTAAACTGTAAAATGCCTTGAAAATTCAGAGTGCTTGGTAAAGAGGAGTGCTTTCTATATGGTAAAGCATTTTGTAAACAGTGGTGCCCTTTACAAAGCAATTTCTAAAGTCTAAACACACTATATATCCCATAGTCCTTTGTAAAGGGCAAGGAGCTTTGTAAACTGTAAAGTACCATGTAAACCACAATGTTCTTTGTAAAGGACAAAGCACCAGCAAACTATAAAGCAGGGTTCGGCCAATGTGTTCTGTCAAGGGCCAGACAGTGCATAGTTTAGGCTTTGTGGGCCTTAGAGGCTCTGTTGCAACCACTCAACTTTGCAAAAGCAGCCACAGACAATATGTAAACAAATTGTGAGGCTGTGTTCCGATAAAACTTTGTTTATGGACACTGAAATTTAAATTTCAGATAATTTTCACGTTATGAAATCATCTTTTGATTTTTTTCAATCATCAAAAAATGTAAAACCCAGCCTTAGCTCGGGGGCCATACAAAACCAGGTGCTGGGCCGGATTTGGCCCTAATTTGCCGACCCCTGCTCCAAGGACCCCGTAAGCTGTAAGGTGCCTTGTAAGAGACAAGCCTTCCTCAGGGTGCAAAATCAGAGCCTCTCAGACTGAAGCTCCTTTCCTCAGAAGCCGCTGCCACGCCTTGTGCCAACAGAACGCACTTGCTCACCGTCACCCTCACGTGCACTTCCTGCCTCTCTCCTCACTGGATCCCTTTTCCTCCCCCAGGTGGTGGGCTCCTCCATGCCACTCATCGGTGACCACCAGGATGAAGACAAGCAGCTCATCGTAGAGCTCGTGGTCAACAAGATGGCCCAGGCCCTGCCCCGGCAGCGGCAGCGGGATGCCTCCCCCGGCAGGGCCTCCCACAGCCAGGTCAGGGCCCTCGCGCTGAGCGAGGGCCAGGCTGGCCCGCGGGAGCTGGTGGCGGGCAGGCCAGCCCTTGGTCATGCTGTGTCACAGAGCTGATCACCAGCAGGCTAAGGGCATCACCATTACACACCCATGGTGGCAACTGATAAATAGCTCTACCCTGAGTTCCCTGAGTGCCTCCTGACCCCTCCCCTGGGAACCTGGGAACAAGTCCCCCACCCCACAACCTGACATCCCCTCAGCTCAGCCACAAATGCAGCAACACCCAGCACACAGGGAACCCATGTCCTTCTGATTGGCTGATGCTCCACTGGCTGGTAACTATTTTTAACCTCTCCTGCTCCACTCCTCTGCCACAGACTCCATCTCCAGGGGCCCTGCCCTTGGGCCGCCAGACCTCCCAGCAGCCCGCAGGGCCACCGGCTCAGCAACGTCCCCCGCCACAGGGTAAGTGAGGGGCCAGCTTCCTGGGCCCCTGCTGTCCTGGCAGCCCCCTCACCTCTCACTTGCTCACGCTCACGTGTGCACGCTTTCTGTCCGTCCCTCAGGTGGCCCTCCACAGCCGGGCCCAGGCCCCCAACGCCAGGGACCTCCGTTGCAGCAGCGCCCAGCCCCGCAGGGCCAGCAGCACCTTTCGGGCCTTGGACCCCCAGCTGGCAGCCCCATGCCCCAGCGCCTACCAAGTCCCACATCAGCGCCCCAGCAGCCTGTGTCCCAGACCCCGCCGCTGACCCCGGCTCAAGGCCGCCAATCCCGGCCAGTGGCGGGAGGACCCGGGGCACCTCCAGCAGCCCGCCCGCCCGCCTCGCCATCTCCCCAGCGCCAGGCAGGCCCCCCACAGGCTACCCGGCAGACATCAGTCTCTGGTCAGGCTCCGCCAAAGGCCTCAGGGGCTCCACCCGGTGGTCAGCAGCGCCAGGGCCCACCCCAGAAACCCCCAGGCCCTGCGGGCCCCACCCGCCAGGCCAGCCAGGCTGGTCCCATGCCCCGCACTGGGCCACCCACCACGCAGCAGCCGCGGCCCAGCGGCCCAGGCCCTGCTGGACGTCCCACCAAGCCACAGCTGGCCCAGAAACCCAGCCAGGACGTGCCGCCACCCACCACCGCTGCTGCCGGGGGACCCCCGCACCCCCAGCTCAAGTAAGGGGACTTCACAGTAGCTCTCGCCTTGCTGCTTACAAACTGGCTCCTGCACCAGGAAGGCAGCCCCAGCTCCCAGGCTCCTCAGACCCAGGTCCTATCCAGAGGTCCCAAAACCCCTCCCCCAAGCTATCACCCCTCCTAGTCCACAGAGGCTCCTGCCCTCCATCCCAGAGATTTGGCATCAGAATCCCAGAGAAACCCCACTTTCAAGTCAGAGTCCTCCCAATAGGCCCTGGGAAAGTGCCCTCCTCCAGCCCCTCTGGGCCCACCTCAGGCACCCGGCTGACCCACCTTCAGTACCTCCCCACCCACCGAATCCTCCTCCCAGCCCATCTGGGAGCTTTTCCTGCCAAACTCATCCTCTTCCTCCCCAGCCTGACTCCTCTTGGTCCAATTCATAGTCCTCCTATGTCACTTTACACTGTTCCCAGTCGGTCCTCATACTTTTCCTACAGGCTCCTTTCTGGTCCATCCCCAAATCCTTCTGGTCCATCTGTCTCCTCCCAAATCATCATACCATTCTCTCTGCCTCTTCTGGTCCATTCCAGACCTGCCCCCACCTTAGCTCAAAAGTCCTCCCTGCCCCTCCTAGCCTGTTCTTGGTCCAGATTCTCCTCCAGCTCCCTCCTGTACTCCTTGCCCTTCAACTGGAAACCTCCCTGCCCACATCTTCACCTTTATATCAAACTTCTCCCAGTCTAGCCTAGAATTTGAAGAGAAGATTCAGCCCAAGACTCTTCTCATTAATCCTAGACTTCACCTTGGATCCAAGTCCTCCCTGCCTGGCCCAGATCCCACCTCCTGGCCCAAGGCTCCCCCACTCTGCCTGAGAATCCATGAGTCCAGGGCCTTGCTGGTGGGTGGGTGGGTCACAGGCACAGCCCCAGGACCAGAGGGGCAGGGCTGGGCCGGGCCTGGGGTAACGTTGTGTTTCTCTCCCCCTCCTCCCTTCCTCTTCCCCCCTTCCTCCCACACCTCCACCTTGTCTCTCTCTAGCAAATCCCAGTCTCTGACCAATGCCTTCAACCTTCCAGAGCCAGCCCCGCCCAGGCCCAGCCTTAGCCAGGACGAGGTGAAAGCTGAGACCATCCGCAGCCTGAGGAAGTCTTTCGCCAGCCTCTTCTCCGACTGACACCCCACCCTGAGAACCCTCAGATCCCTGGGCAAACCCTTTCTGGGCCCTGAATCCATTGCTCACTTTTGGAATCTCCAAATCCATTGAGAAGCCCTCTCCTGGTTCACAAGATCCCTCTTCTCACTCCTCAGAAAGACCAAGTCCCTGGGGAAACGTCACTCCCGGTCCTAAATCCAATTCTGCCGTTTGGAGTTCCCAAGTCCTTTTAGAAACCCACTCCCAGTCACCTCAAGACCTACTTCTCAGTTTTAGAACCTCCAAATTCCTGAAGACCTCCACTCCTGGTCCCCCCAGGGTGCACTTTTCCTCCCAGAAGCTCCCAAACACCACGCAACCCATTCTGGCCCTAACACCGCTGAGTCCCCTCCTGGAGCTCTAAAAGTCCTGGAAAACTCTACTCCTGGTCCCAGATCCCTCAAGCACACCATGTAATCCATCAGCATTTCCCAGATCCTTAAGAAACCCCTACCTTTGAGACCCTTGCCATGGCTCTCCCATCTCTGGAGATCCACCTCTTCAAATGCCACCACCCAGCCCCACAAGGATTTCCCTTTACCTCCCCTCCAACCGCATTCAACACCCTGGGAGCTCCTCCTACTGCTAGGACCCCTCAGTTCCCCAGGGACCTCTGCCCCACTTTTCTGCCTCCAACAGCTGTCTTTAAATATGCAAACTCCACCGTTCCTCCCAGAATCCTTTGCACACGGAAGGCCAGTGGTCCCCCACTTCCCCACCTTTGCCGTGATGTCTGTGTCTGTGACTGACGTGGCCTCCTCGCGTGCCGTGCTTGGCATATGTGGTCCTCGTTCATCGTGCCGCCTGTGGTGATGCGTGCAGTGGCGCTGTTTGTGTGGTCCGCACCTCCTCCCAACCTCCACTCCCTGCCTGGACTCACTCACCCTCACCCCTCAGCGGCTCTGAACCCCACGAGAAGAGTCGAGAAGCAAAATAAACAAGCAAAGGCCCAGCAGAATTCTGTGCTTCTTGGTGAAGAAAGAGGGGAGTCCTTGAATGGCGGGGGAGACACCGGGGACCCCTAAATCCACACGGAGTGCTGGGGACCCCAAAATCCAGTGGAAGGCACATCAGGCACAAATTCCAGAGAGGTTCTGAATGGAATCCCTGCCACAAATCCCAGCCATTGGAGCCGGAGGAGCTCCCGAATTTAGAAGTATCCCCAAAGCCAAGAGGAAACCAAATTATGGAGGAGGCAGGGGTCTCGGTCTTTGGGGGGGTCCCCCAATTCCAGAGGAACTAGGAAAGCACATGGAGATGAGGGACCCCCTCATCTCCAGCGCGGAGACGGGAGATCTTGAGGCAGTTATCAGGGCAAAGACGAACACTGATTGGTTGGTGGGCAGGGCTCCTTGGCGTGGCAGGCTGAGATTGGCTCCCTGGTGGCTGGGGGTGAGGCCTAAGGCACAAGGCGGGCTGCGCTGAGTAGGCAGGCAGGCAACTCATCAGCCTGGGTGCGGTGCAAGGAGGGTTCGGAGGCACTCCGCTCAATCTTGGGGAGTGACCGCTGCAGCAGCTCAATGGTGGCCAGAATCTGGGGGCGGGGGTGGGTGAGGAGGGGCGTCCAGAGCCACATGGGCACCCCAACACCCCCAGCCCCCAGCCTAATGGGGAAGCACACACTGTCTGAGCCTTGATGACCCACGGTTCACATTCACACCTCAGAGTCTTCCTCCTCCTCAGAGTCCTCCTCCCCAGGGTGTCCAGCCCTCCCACATGGCCCACCTGAGGGAAGAGGGGCCGCTCCTCCCGCTGGAACTTGAGGCAGTCAGCCAGCAGGCGCCGCATGGCCTTGGGGCAGTTGCTGGAGATTTTGCTGAGGTCCGGGGACAGATAGCCACGGCCCACCATAAAGATAATCTGGGGGGGGCACGAATGGGGTGATGGGGGGGTCTGGGCTAGGAGGCCCAGGGAATTCTGGGTCTCTAGGGACTTGGGAGGCTTCTTTTTGGGGAACTAGGGTATTCTGGATATTGAGACCCAGAGGATTGTGGGTATCTTGTGGATCCAAGGAGTCTGGGTCTCTGAGGACTTGGAAGGATTCTCTGCTTGCAGAACAAAGGAACTTAAGCTTGGGGGAAGTGAAGGCTGATAGGTGTCTGAGGCCCAGAGGATTATGGCTACACAGGTTTCTAGAGGGCTTAGGGGCCTGGAAAGTATTGAGTCTGGAGGAAACATGAAGTTCTTGGTCTGGAGGGAGCTAAAAGAAGTCTAGCCCTCAGGAGCTTGTATTTCTGTGGAGGTCTGGGGCCTGAGGACTATGGGTCCACGTGGCCTGTAGGACTGTGAGTGCTCAGGGCCCAAAGACTATTGGTCTCCAGAGCCTAGAGGATCCTGGGTTTCTGAAGGCCTGGGAGATTCCGGGCCTTGAACCTGGAGAGCTGTGAGAGTCTGGAGCCTAGAGTATTGTGGGTTCCAGGGCCACAAAATCTGCCAGATACCCAAGGCCTTAATGATTATGGCTATGTGTGAGTATTCCAGAAACACAAAGGTATTCTGTTTCTCAGAGAAATGGGGTTCTGGGCTTTGGGGACCTGGGGGATTTTGAGTACCTGGGTCAGAGGACTGCGGGTATCTAGGAGCTCAGAGGGCTTCTGGGTGTTTGGGGCCTTAGGGAGATTCTGGGTATAGGGGATTCAGAAGATTTTGGACTTTGAGGACCCAGAGGATTGTGGATGTGGGGGAAGGAGGGGATTCTGGGTATGGGAGACCCAGAGGATTCTGGGAGTTCTCAGCCCAGAAGATTTGGGGTTTCTGGGGGAACTGTGGCATTCTTGGTCTGTGCAAAGGAGGAGATCTGGAGTTTGGAGGCTGAGGAGATCCCTTAGCCTGGGAGATTGCAGGTAAGGTGTAGGCTCACCTGGTCACGGCTGCCAATGTGGCTGTAAGGCAGTGAGCCGGTCATGAGCTCATAGAGCACAACCCCATAGGCGTAGACATCCGACTGGAAGCTGTAAGGGTTCGGGTCCTGCATACGGATCACCTCAGCCGCCTTCAATAGGCCAGACCAGGCAGGGGGGCCATGGAGGTCAGCAAATGGCTGGCCCATAGTCCCAGATCCCACTAGCCACACTGGGGACAACTCACGTACCATCCATGTGAGGTGAAACGTGAGCAGTCCAGACACCCACACCACCCCCCACGTCCCAGCCCAGCAGCCCACATCCCTATGGGCCCCCAATCCCGCCTGGCCCAACTCACCATCCACAGCACAGAGCCCGAGGGCTGCTCCAAGGGCTGGGCCCCGCTCCACCGTGTCTTCACCGTGGCCAGGCCGAAGTCACCGATCTTCACTGTGAGCCCCTCGTGTAGGAAGATGTCCACTGGGGTCAAGGGCCACTACAGGGACTCCCAACAGCCACGCCTCTCACCCTGACTGGGGGGCTCTTGTTAATGCCTCCACACCAGTCATGCCTCTAACCCTGACCAGAAGCCCCCCGATGTCACACAAACTAGCCACAACCTTGACCTGGGTGGGGAGTTCCAATTAATGCCCCCTATACTTGGCCCCCCTGTGACTCCTGACCAGGAAGCCCCTCTAAGGGCACCCATACCCACCATGCCTGGGACCCTGATCAGGAACTCCCCATATTGCCCTCCACAACTGCAGCTCCACAGACCCTGACCAGAGTCCCCAAGGACAGCACCTGAACGAGCCACAGCCGTGACTCCTGGCCAAGAGACCCCCATCAAAGGCCCCTCACCAGCCACAGCTCCGCCACCTGGCAAGGGGCCATGCCACACGTGCCCCTCCCTGTTCGTCCCCAGAAAGCCCTCCACAAGAGCCATCCCTCTAAGCCCTCACCCTGTTTGACGCCCCCACCCCAGCCCAGCCCCGAGACAGGGACAGGTAGATACTGTTAGACTTGAGATCTCGATGGATGATGTTCTTGGCATGAAGGTAGCTGTGGGGGTGGAAGCAGGTGGCAAATTGGCTGGGGCTACCTCATCACCCCACCCCCAGATTCCCCAGGCCCCTCCCAGTCCCCACACTGGGAGGCTCACTCCATGCCCTGGGCAGTCTGCCGGGCCACGTCGATGAGCTGGACCATGTCGAAGCGGGTGTCGGCTACATGTAGGTGGTGATAGAGGCTGGAGCCCTCGCACCACTGCGTGATGATGGCAAATCCCGGCCGGGTCATGAAGCCCATGAACAGCAAGATGTTGACATGACGCGTCTTCCTGCAGGCAGGGAGGGCGGTATCAGGGCAGGGAGGAAAAATAGCAACTGTCACTCACTTTCTGAGCATCAGGAATGGCACTGTCATCATTTCCACTGTCTTTCAGGAGGCTCAGGGCCAGACTGTGGCCAAATTCAACGAATTTGTGAGACAGCTGAGCTATGATTCCGTGCTGGGGGCTTACGTCCTGAGCTTTTTCCCAAAAGCAGGAGGGAGGGATTACCGCCCCCACCCCTCTACTGACCAGTAGCCTCTTAATCATTAACACTTGCCACACCTCTGACCCTGACCATGACCTGGGCCTGTGATGATTTTACAGATGAGAAAGTGGAATGCCAACCTTCTCCACTGATCTATCAGCATAATATTGATAAAATGCCAGGTAAAAATATCAGTAGCATGTGATGATATCCTATTAATCACCACGAGAGGCTTAGAGGTAAAGAGTTTGGAGTTTGGACTCAAATTAGATCCTATGTTCCAATCCAGGCTTCCTAGGTACTCACTGTGCAACCTTGGGAGGACACTTAACCTCTCTGTGCCTCATTTTCCTCAACTGTAAAACTGTGATTATTATATTAGCTACTTTATAGGCATGTTGGGAGGAATAAGTGAGGAAATCATCTGTAAGGTGCTTTGAACAGCACCTAACACACGTAAGCACTGAAAGTTTCCCTACCCTTGTTGTTCTCACTACTGGGGACCTGGGTTTACCTCACAGAAACTGTCACACTGGCCATATGAGTCTGTCTGCCCTCATTTAGAAGAAAACCTTCCTTCCTTACAGAAGTATTAACTACAGTCATAATGGTAACACAAATGCAAACAACATCCACGATGCTCTACAATTCTGCTCATGTCACAGCAGATAACAGAGTGCGTGAGCACTCTTCAGAGCAGTCAGATTATGGTTACAATATTAATATAATGCAAATGAACAGCATGCTCAAGTCATCGCCATTTCACAGAGAAGAACGGAGACTACAAGTTTTCTTACTGTGGCATCCATTATGAGGATAAATATTAAAACAGCACAAGGAATTATGATAACATCAACTCTAAGCTAATTGTGCCCATTTGTCAAAGAGGAAAGCCCAGGCTGGGAACCCCGGCAGCGGAAATAAGCAGGGCGGCAAGAAGGGAAAGCCAGGGCTTCTCGGCATGCATGAATACAGTATTAATGATATATTAAGTAAAGCCACCACTCATTAAACAATGATTAAATTATGGTTCTGATTATAGTTAATAACACTGTTCTGTAAATTATGGCGTTACTATAACTAGTAACAAGAATGCAACACAATAAACATAACACTGATGTAGTACAAGCAGAGGGGAAGGAAGGACCAAGCCCTCCTGGCAACGCGGTTAACTAACATCATGCTATTCACGTTAAGTACACGAAGTAACGTTAATGAGGTCTTGCGGCCATCCCCATTTCACAGCAGGCAAACAAGAAGACCCATGTTGGCGGCAGAGCCGTTTATTAATATCAACATTAACCCAAACACAAACAATAACATCATCAGAGGTCCTCTAAACCTACCCATTTCCCAGAGGGAAAAAGGCATCCTTGAGAGAGAGAGAACTTCAATCACGGTTCTAACGCCACACAAACACGGGTGATGTGCGGGAAGCGCCCTGAGCACGGCCCTTCCCCAGAGAGGCACCGAGGCTGTGCCCGCCGCCCCCACCCCTCACCCCCACACGCGTGCAATCTCACCTGAGCACCTGCATCTCGTTCTTGAAGGCCTGGGCCTGCTCAGCTGTGGGTTGGGCCACCTTGAGCACCTTCACGGCCACATCACCATGCCACCGCCCGCGAAACACGGTGCCAAACGAGCCCGTCCCGATCCTCTTCAGCAGCTGTACCTCACTGGGTGGCACCTCCCAGTAATAGCCTGAGTCCCGGTACCCCAGATTCTTCTGTGGGCCACATGGGGGGCATCTCAGGGGCCTGCCCACATCCCTCATCACGTGGTGCCCCCCAAAGGTTCCCCCTGGAGCTTACCACTTTCTTCTTGTCATCAGCCAAGGACTTCCGCTCCCGCTGCTCTGATGGGGACTTGGAATGTGGGGACTTCCTCCCCGAGGACACACTGGCCGGGCTGGGGCTCCCCCGGGAGGCTCCATCACCACCACTTCTACTACCAGCAGCTGTGGTTGTGGAGAGGGTGTGAGTGGAAGCAAGCAGGGTGGCGGGCGGGCTCAGGGCGCAGGCAGTGGGGGGCTCACCATCAGTGCTGAAACTCTGGGCAGTGGAAGAAGACGGACGGGAGTCAGAGAGCGGACATGGAGGCCAACAGGAATGGCTCTCCCTTCTGCCCGCTGCTGCCCAGTGACTGCCCCCCCGACACCAACCTGGATGAGGCTGGAGTCCGTGGGGGCTGTGGTGCTAACCATATGGACGTTGGGGGTGGACGTGGAGCGGATGCGCTGCAGGGGGGCGTTGGCCGAGGCAGGGAAGGGGAAGTGCTCAGGGTCACGGTGCTGGGTGCAGGAGCTGGCAGGGGAAAGGCTGTGAGATCACCGTCGAATGAACAGGAGACCCAATAAAGCCGCCCCCAGCCCCGTCGTAACAGTGTGTTTAGCTCACACAGAGTAAACATCCACTGTCATTACTATTATTCATTTCTTCCAGAAACATTTATTGAGTGCCTGCCGTGAGCCAGATACCATTCTAGGGAGTGGAAATAAAACTGAGAGCGAAACAAATAAAAGTTCTTGCCCTCGTGGGGCTGATGTTCCAGGAGGGAGAGAGAGAAATAAAAAACAAATAGTTAATATGTCCAATAGTGATAGGTGCAATAAAAAAATAAAGCAACGTAAGGAGACAGACAGTGCCCCCGGTGATGTCAGGAAAGGCTTCTCTGAGGAGATGACATGTGAGCAAAGACCTAAAGAAGGGACAGTGAGCCACACAGATAGTGGGGGAAAGAGTAATATATGATATTTCATAACTAAATGTATTATTCAAATATATTATGTATTATATAATATACAGCATATTATCTATATTAAAAAGGCAATGTTGCAAAATATACATATCACAATGTTATATGTTATACATATACGTACATGTTATACATGATACACGTTACATATATTATAATGTTACAAAAATATTTCTTAATGTTCCCTTCACTATCCTGAAATGAAATTCATAAGTAATTAATCCACATACACCCATAATTAAAAATAACACAATACCCTAACTTTACTATTTTCTATACCATAGTCCCCCTTATCCGTGGTTTCACTTTCCCCGGTTTCAGTTTTCCACGGTCAACCGCAGTCCGAAAATATTAAATGGAAAATTCCAGAAATAAACAATTCATAAGTTTTAAACTGTGTGCTGCTCTGAGCAGCGTGTTGAAATCTTGCGCTGTCCTGCTCCATCCCACTCGGGACGTGAATCATCCCTTTGTCCAGCATATCCACACTGTATACCCTACCCACCCGTTAGCCCATTCGTTAGGAAAAAACATCGTATCTACAGGGTTCAGTACTATCCGTGGTTTCAGGCATCCACTGGTGGTCTTGGAATGTATCCTCGACAGATAAGGGGGGACTACTGTATTACATCAAAATATATGATGGTCTACATTATATAAAAATATAACACATGATATAATAAGAAACATACCATATAAATATAGATATTATAAAATATACAATATAGACATATAAAATGTGTATTATATAAACTTATGATGTATTAGAATAATAATATATTTTAACATAGAAATACTATAGTATTATAATGCTTAACATAGAGAAATAAAAGGGAAATTATGATAAAATAACATGTATTTCAAAGTGGAAAGGCTTAAGCATGGTGATACTAGAATAATTAACAAAGCAGTTAGATGCTCATATATATATTTATAATTAAGAAGAACTTATTATTCTGCACCAGATCTTTTCTAAGCACTGAAAATGTCTTAACTCTAACCCTCACTAGAACCTATGTGGTAAAAAGTATCATTATCCCCTCTTTATAGATGAAAAAACTAAGGCCCAGAGAGATTAGATGACTTGCCCAAGGTCCCATAGCTCCATGCCCTTACTCACACTTGTAGGTGCTCAATAAATGTTTGTCAAGTAAACGAGTGAATAAACTATGGCTTGTGGTCTACAGAGGCCTCTAGATCTTTTTCTCCTAACAGAGGCCCTTTGGCTAAGGCATCCCTACCTGGGACCCTGAGGGGTTAGCGGCTCATTCAGGGGGCGGTTCGAGGGAGCCTCGTGCTGTCTGGAGCCTCCGGACAAATCCTGGACACTGTGGTGGAACCTTGAGGGCATTAAGGGTGTAGAGCAAGGGGATACGGGTCAGCTGTCTGTAAGAGCCTTGTGGCTGGGCCTTTGTCCTCCCCATACCCCCACCCACCCCAGGCCAGGCTCACTGTCGGCGGTTGGTACTCATGTCGACACAGACTGTGGGGACCTTGGAGGAACAATGCTGGTGGAACTTGTAGCCACAGGTTTGGCAGCGGAAGCCATGGAACAGAAACTTAAGGCAGAAGTCGCAGAACGCCAGGCTGAAGAAGGTCTTCCGTACCTGCTGCCACAGAGCAGGGAAGGGTGAGGCCTGGTCAGGGGCCCTCCCCCCAGGCCCACGGTCTGCCCCCACCATGCACCCCGCACTCACAAAATTGTGCATGGTCAGCGGGACGTCTTCGAGGACCTCCACAATGAGCTCCTCGCCATCCAGGGGGGCAATGGCCGTGTCCCAGGCAGTGACTGTCTTTCTCCTGCAGGAGGCATGGAAGGGAGTGAATGGGAGGGTAGACGGGGGCCATGAGGAGGCAAGGAACACCCAAAAGTCCCTCCAAGCCTGCCATCCATGGAGTAATATCTGGCTTGTTTAATTCTCATCACAACAACTCCAGGAACTAGTTGCTATCCTTGCCCCCATCTTCCAGATGGGGAAACTGAGGCTCAGAAGGATAAAGTGACTTGTCCAAGGCCACAAGGGATTGTGAGTGGCTGGACAGTGTGAAGAGTCCAGGCTTTAAACCACAAGGCAAGAAGCAAATGAGATAGTGAATAAACAACTAAGAAGAGCCAAGCAAGCCCCTGAAACAGCGATTGATGAGGCATTGAAACAACAAACAAGAAGCAATGTGTGAACTGAATAAAAAAATGAAGGAGCCCCAGGACAGAGGAAGGCATGGAAGGTCAGGAAGACCCAACTCGCCAGACAGAGGATGGGGAAACGGAGGAAGGAGAGAGCTGACAAACTGACGAAATAGGGAAAGAACAAAACAGATGGACTCCAGGAGGAGGTGACAGAGCACAGTGACGACCTGGAGGCCAAGGAGACAAGGTGTGGATCTTACAGGCCAATGAACTAATGAAGTCAGGCGTCACAGATTCACTGAACTCAGGGCAAACTAGTGGCGACTCCAGGACAGAGTGAAGAAGGAGGGGATGGGAGGACGGGCACCCAGCAGGGGGGATGGGGGGTACACTTACCCCTTGATGAGCCGGTAGACCACGCAGCAATCCTGGTTGAGACCCCGCACCTTGAGGGCCTTGTCTAGAGAATCGTAGACGCTCATGCCATCCCGGACAGTCACCTGTGGGGGACGTGTGTGTGCAGATGTAGGGGGTCAGTGGCCAACAGAGACCCCAGCCAACTCTCCCATCCCTCTGCAAAAGCCTCCTCCCAGCCCTACTCACCCTTCTGAACCAAGATTTCCAGCTGGGGCCATCCCCGCCCCCCGCCCGTTTTGCTGCCAGCAGACTCACCACTGTGCGTTGCTTGTTGGGCAGGTACACTTTGACAGTGCCCACTGCCCGGGATGGCTCGGCCCCATTGGCAGGGGGGCCCCGTGGTGGATCCATGGAGCCTAGGACTTTGTCAAGACGGGCTGACGTGGGGCTGGGCAGGTGCCATGGGGCTCCTGGAAGACAGAGGAGGAATTCAGAGGTCCAATAATGATAGTCTGGAAGCAAAGGCAGGGGACAAAAAAATTCAGTCTGGGGCTCCACGTCATCCCCTGTAGCCTAATTTCCACACAACAGCCCAAAGGATCCTGTTAACGCCTTGAAGTGGATCCAGTTCACACCTTGAAGTGGATCCAGTTCCTCCTCTGCTCAGCCCCTCCTGTTTGTCTCATTCTTAAGTGCCAAGGTCTCCGGTTCACTGCATGGGACGGAGTGGGGGTGGGGGACAACACAATGAGAGGCAGCACACACTGTCCTGGAGGGCACAGGAGTCCACAAGTCTCTGTGCTGGGGGCTAACAGGGAAGTCAGCACACACTGCACCGCCACCTGTTAGGTACATAAGGGACATGAAGAGGCTGTCCCGGCTTTTAATGGAGAAGGGGGGTTACCAGAAACTGGTGAGGGAGGAGTCACAGACATGTGATGGGGAATGAATGAGGATCATCAGATATTGCCCTTAGTTTGGGGGAAATGGCAGTTGCACCAAAGAGTGTCCTTAAGGGCACTGTGGGCATCCCCAAGCCCTGGGCTGTAATGATTGTGGGCCCACAAACACGGTGGTAGGTGGCTGATGGGAGTAACCAGACTGTGATGGGGAGTTCACAGAGGCTCAGCAGACACTATGCTGAAAGGAGATGTAACAGGGGTCACTAGGGACTGTAACGGGGAGAAGAGTGGATAATGGGGGTCACCAGACACCGTCATGGGGAAAAGGAAGGTAATGGCGCATCACCAGACACTGCTGAGGTGAGATGAATGGGACTAAAGCAGGCGCGGGGGGGCGGGGGGCCTCCAAAATTCTCCCTGACAACTAATGAAGGGGCCACAGACATATCACTGGTGATAATGGAAGGAGGCCGGGGAAGATTAAGGAGGAGTAATGGGGAAATCCTCAAACATTCTCCTAGTGGGTCAGACACTGATCCAGAGTAAGGAAAGCGAGTACTGAGCCGCGTCTCCACGCACTCCCTGCTGTTGGTAAGGAGGAGTCATCAGATACCTTAAGGAGGTTAAAAGGTAATACAGCCACAACACACCACAGCCCAAGGCCCTTTCAGGCGAGCCCCGCCTACCGAGGGCCTTCTAGTTCTGCGCAGGCGCACTGCCACAAGCGGCGGGCGAAACCATCCCCCGCAGCCTTGCACCCCTATTCCTGTCTACCCCCCCCCCGCCGTCGACGATGGTCTCGCCCTGGGTCAAACCACTCCTCCGGTTCCGGGCGGGGGGCGCCGGGGCCCAGGCGCAGCCATCCTGGAGCTGAGCTTTCGGTCCCGGCTCCCTGCCCGTGCCCGGCGGTCGCTCCAAAAACCTAACCCTGCCGGGCCCGCCCTCACCTGTCACGCCGCTACGGCCGCCGCCGCCTCCATCTTGGGCCTGTCTTCTTGTTTCCTCGTAGAGTCCGCCTCCACCGCCCCTCGGGTTTTCGCCATTGGCTCCGTAGGACTCAGCCCTCCATCTTTATTGGATTAGGATCACGCCTGTCAAGGCAGGACCGGCGGAATGTGGGTCGTGTTCCGGATTAGGAGGGGCTGCCTGAAACGTCGTGGTCTGGGGCAAATTCGCACGTCCTGAATCGCGCAGGCGCAGTCGAGAGGAAACCTGTGTGCCATGGGCTTTAACCCCAATCGTGCCATGGCGGAATAAAGCAGGGCTTTTTTCGGTCACTTGAGGCTGACTTTAGGGGTTCCTGAGTCTGGGCGGGAAATTCTTAAGCGCCCTTTGTGCTCTAGTGACCCAGAGCCCTAAGTACCCATTTGGGATTTCCCTGTGTCTGAGTTTTACCATCTTTGAAATGGGTTGGAATAAGCTGAAATATCTGCAATGTTTTTCAGTTTTAAAAGGCTGTAGTCATAGCCTTTGATAACAACAGGTCTCTAGTGTGGCCGGCGCTGGGAGTCTGGCCCTAGGAGGGTCGGCCTGCTCTTCTGAGAGCATTCCTTTGGAATGCAGTTAAGTATTTTGAAAGACTAGTTGTAGATGGCCAGGTGAAGAGGGGAGGGAAGCGTGGATCTGGAATGGGGCACAGTGCAGGGAAACGTGTGGAGCTCTTGTAGGGTAAATACAAATTTTTTTAAAGTTGAATTTTCCCTGGTGTCAAAAGTGAAAGAGACTTTCCACCTTTTCTTTTCTTAGAGCATTTCCTTTAGAGAACTTGTAATTGTAAATTTTTTCTGTCCCTTCGAGATGTATGTAAATCTTTTTAAACGCTAAATAGGCCTCCTGCCAGTTTTACTACCCAGGCATGTTGTTCTTTTTTTTTTTTTGTGAGGAAGATCAGCCCTGAGCTAACATCCATGCTAATCCTCCTCTTTTTGCTGAGGAAGACTGGCTCTGAGCTAACATCTATTGCCAATCCTCCTCCTTTTTTTCCCCCAAAGCCCCAGTAGATAGTTGTATGTCATAGTTGCACATCCTTCTAGTTGCTGTATGTGGGACGCGGCCTCAGCATGGCCAGAGAAGCAGTGCATCGGTGGGCGCCCGGGATCCAAACCCCCAGCCGCCAGTAGCGGAGCGCGTGCACTTAACTGCTAAGCCACGGGGCTGCCAGGCATGTTGTTCTTAAGGGCCTTGGAGCCATCTCTTTGAAATGTAAACATCAACGGTGATAGAGCACCTATCTCCCTGGGAATTTGACCTAAGCAGCTGGCTCCAAGTTGTTACCTGCTTGTCAAAGAGATAATATGTTTTATGTTTCCTTTAGATAAAGGCAGATGGCTACCCCAATTTCCAGGTGAATTTGATATGAACTATGGTGCTGTCAAGTTTTCTCACTTGACGACAAGTTATCATCTTTCTTGAGAACATGTACGTAATGGGTTGTATTTGTCCGGCTATATAAAAGGATGAGGTTCCTTTCTGTCTTCCCAATCTCTTTAGCGAATTGCTTGTGATGTGCAGTGCAGTCTGGTTTAACGCTTATTCCATAATAAAACTATTTTATTCTTGTCTACCTTTTTTTTTTTTGGTGAGGAAGATTGGCCCTGAGCTAACATCTGTTGCCAATCTTACTCTTTTTGCTTGAGGAAGATTGTCGCTAAGCTAACATCTGTGCCAGTCTTCTATTTTGTACATGGGACGCCGCCACAGCATGGCTTGATGAGCAATGTGTAGGTCTGCGCCCGGGATCCAACCCTGCAAACCCCAGGCCACCAAAGCAGAGTGCTCGAACTTAACCACTACGCCACTGGGCCAGCCCTCTTTTCTACCTTTGTGGAGAGGGTTCCCTGGGTTGGCACGAGATTTTATTTTTAATTATTTCCCCAACAGTATGAACGGCCTGTTGTGTTTGAAGTGATTACATTCTCCTGTTTGGAGCCTCAGCATCCCTCTGCGATGAAATAAGAAAAATCAGAGAAAGGTCACTAGGCGAGGGGGCCTCAACATGCTTCAGCTTATATTTATTAAATGTGTTTTCTGCCTATAAGGAGAGAGAAAAAAGTTCTGCTTACTGCATATAACCTCCATTTCCCATCACCCCTTTTCTATTCGATCTTTACCTTTCAATGGCTAAAATTAAAAAGACCGACAATCCCACATATTGATGAGAATGTGGAGCAACTGGAACTTTCAGACATTGCTATTGGAAGTGTAAAACGATACAACCACTTTGGAAACAGTTTGGCAGCTTCGTATAAGTTAAACATAGACATACCATGCAATCCAGCAATCTCATTTCTAGGTATTTACTCCAAAGAAGTGAAAATATATGGCCAATGGTGTGCTGGTAAATGTTTAACAACCACCTCTCTAGGAAAAAAAGCGTTTGCCAACTATGGTGTAAAAACTCCCATCACGGCTTTCAAACTACTAATATGACATCACTGAAGCAGAGTCGAGAACAGATTTGCAAAATCCCCTCTGGTGAGCCCACCACAGCATGCTACTGCAATATGTCCGCACAAAAACTTGTACTCAAATATGAATTAGCTTTATTCATAATAGCAAAAAACTGGAAACAGCTCAGGTGTCCAAGAAGGTAAGAATTGACAAAGAAACAATGGGGTCAATGAAAGGGAACAAACTACTTCATACGTCTATGAATCTCGTAGACATAAGGTTGAGTGAAAGAAGGCAGATACAAAAGAGAAATACTGTATTATTCCATTTGTATGAAATTCTAAGCCAAGCGACACTAATCTATAGAGAAGGAAATCAGACTAGTTGTTGTCTTGAGTAGAATGACTGGGAAGTACATGAAGGAACTTTGGGAGGTGATTGGACTGTTCAGTATGCATTTGTCATTGAACTCTATACTGAAAATGGGTAAATATACCTCAATTAAAGTGCATGGCCAAAAAATGGCTTCAAACATAATTCTAAACATTTTGATTGCTTACAAATTCTTTTTTTCTTCTTCTTCTTTTTTTTTTTTTTGGTGAGGAAGATTGGGCCTAAGCCAACATCTGTGCCCATCTTCCTCTATTTTGTACGTGGGATGCCTCCACAGCGTGGCTTGATGAGCAGTGTAGGTCCGAGCCCAGCATCTAAACCCAGGAAGCCCAGGCTGCTGAAGCAGAGCACACGGAACTTAACCACTATGCCACCAGGCTGCCCGATTGCTTACAAATTCTTATTGGTTAGAGAAAACTTTTTTAAATTCTCTGTTCTGAAATTGAATCCCTGGACCCTACATCCCCATCTCCCAGTGCAGGAGCCCTGGCGGCAACCTCAGTGCCATATGGGGTCAGGAACAACTCCTATCGGAGCTCAGAGAGGGGCTCCAAAATCCTCGCCAGGAGGAAGAATAAGTTCAGGGGCGAGGGGAGTGCATTTTAAATTTCAATTCATTTAAATATTATTTAATTTGTTTAAAAACTTTCATTTCTATGCAAATCAAAACAACACTAAGATATCACCTCATGCCTGTTAGAATGGCTATAATCACCAAGACAAAAAACAACAAATGTTGGAGAGGATGTAGAGAACAGGAACCCTCATACACAGCTGGTGGGAATGCAAACTGGTGCAGCCTCTATGGAAAACAGTATGGAGATTACTCAAAGAATTAAAAATAGAAATACCCTATGATCCAGCCATCCCACTACTGGGAATCTATCCAACGAACCTGAAATCAACAATCCAAAGAGGCTTATGCACCCCTATGTTCATTGCAGCATTATTCACTATAGCCAAGACATGGAAGCAACCCAACTGTCCCTCGAATGATGATTGGATCAAGAAGATGTGGTTATATATATACCATGGAATACTACTCAGCCATAAAAAAAGACAAAATCGTCCCATTTGCAACAACACGGATGGGCCTGGAGGATATTATGTTAAGTGAAATAAGCCAGAAAGAGAAAGACAAACACTGTATGATCTCACTCATATGTGGAATATAAACCAACACATGTACAGAGAAAACTGTATTGTGGTTACCAGGGGCAATGGGGGTAGGGGGTGGGCACAAGGGGTGAAGGGAGACATATATATGGTGATGGACCAACAAAAATGTACAACCCAAAATTTCACAATGTTATAAACTACTAAAACATCAATAAAAAAACTTGAATTTCTAGGCAATATTTGAAAACATTTCTGGCTCCATTGCACGTTTACAAAAAGATGAGCAAAATCCCAGCATAAACTCATTGCCCACGTGCTTTGCGGGGAGGAGGGACCGAGGGAGGGTGGGAGGCGGGCGCCCACTCAAGCGCAATCCTTTCTCTCCCAAGGACTCATAGACTCGCTCCAAACTCATCCCAACTAGTGCGACTTCAGCCAAGTACCTCACCGCACCGGACAAGCCGTGAGGGCCTTTGAAGTTGAATTGGGTTTTTATCATCATCATCACGTTAAAACCATCAGAAGTACCAATGTATTAAAACAAAAATTAAAGCCTGCACTAGCTGATTAAGGTTTTCTGACATACCCCTTGAAATTATTCACCTAGAAATCTTAAAACATTTTTAAGAGGTTGTTGGTTTTTATTATTGTTGATTTTAAATTCTTAGAAACGTATCTAAAAATATACAAAAATCTTAAGTGTTCACCAACTGCTGTTGTAATGCTACCCATTTTACAGCTGAGCAAATTGAGGTTTAGGCTGCCGTAACCAGAAGGATGGAGGAGAGAGAGCTTCAGGAATTCAAGTTTGATAAAAAGTGTTCGAACAAGGGTGCAGGCCAAAGGCACCTCCTTAAAGAATCTTGGATCCACCCCAGCGGTCCTGCGTGCCTGAGGCTCTGCTTTAAAACCTGCCACTCTCATTTCCCAAGGCCACCGCCCTCGCCCGCCCCTGCGGCCGCCTGGAGAACACCGCTTCTGAGACCCCATCGCACTGCCTCCCTCTCCGCTACGCATTTCAGGAGAGAGGACCGCGCGTACACATTTCACTAAGGGACAGACGGAGGCTCAGCTGCACGCCCTACAGGCCTGACTCAGCGCCCTCAACTA